TTCAGTCTCTCACTCTTATCCATTCGGCAACCTGTAAGGCAGGTTGCCAAAACTGCTCTGCTGTCACCCAGATTAAGTGTATACAAATCATTACCATGAAGAAGCACTAGTAAAACACAAGATCCAATAGAAACTAGATCAGGACGTTCCTCCATTTCCCGCTCCACCATGTACAGGAAATCATTCTCTGCCTGACTAATAGCACGTTCAAGGATATCAAGTACCCCTTGTGAAAATGGATCACATGATAGTTCTGACTTAGTAGATAGGCTACACTTTGCATAACATCCATGATTAGAATCATTTATTCCTTTAAACCTTGCCATAGATTGATCTTCGTGATAAATAAGGCTGTCATTCAACTTACATTGCAGGGATTCATCCAAGCCCCCATCATTATAAGCTCTGATGGAACCTGGCTCCAATTCCTCGATTAACTTATCAAAATATGATATGATGGTGTCATACAGGGTACCAGCCAGAAAATCGGCTGCATCTCTTCCATTAAAGCCATCATAAATAGCACAGAAGAGCCACCCATTTTCTTCAGAACAAACTGCTTGAACTCTGTCTTCACCGGCAGCTCCTCCTGCTACTTGAACTTCCTTAACATTAAGAAAACCTTCACTTCTGGAAGGATCGCTCATTGATTTTAACGTGCAAGAGTCATATTCGAGGATGTCACTTGTAGTAGAAGGACTGCAGCTAAGGTAAGACAAACTACTTGGGAGGGAAGATGATAGTATGTCCAACTTTGAAAGACTTGGCGAAGAGGTTACCTTACGAAATGAATTAGGAGAGTCCCAACTTGGAAGGATTTCTTCACCTATTTTACCATTGCAGATGTTTGTGTTGGCTAATGTAGCATTCGCACTTAAGGCTGCACCTGACAAGCAAGAGAAACTACTTGTTCTACGCACTCCGGGAAGGATTTTGCAGCCACTGGCAAACTCACAGGGAATACCTCTATCACTGTTGCATTTATAGCCAAAACTTATTTTAAGTTCTCCTTCAGGACTAAGCATTATACCCTGCTTTAAGAAATCCATTCTCAATAGTATCAGTACCACAGGTATAGATATACTGAAAGGAAAACACACACAACACACATATATATATCCCTGTATAATATAAGGTGATAGGAATACTGATTCTTGTAAAGTGATAATCAGATAAAATAGATCTATATATAACCAAGGTGGTTATAGTGCACGAGCATTACAAAGAAAAGACAAAATGCATTTTGAACTTGAAAATATAAAACCAAAAGAAACTGAATTTAATATTTAAAACCAAGAGAAACTTTTTCTATGAGTATGGTCTATCAGATGTTTTGTTATATGAACAAACAATGCTAACATAAAAAGTAAATGGCCAAATCAAAATAATTTACACAAGGATAGGACAAACTCGCAAATGGTAAAATATCACAACAATTTGACATGAGATCACCAAGCACTAAAATATACGGCTAGAATTAAAAAATGAGACTTAAAATTTGTAGAACTTTTACTTATAGCTTTTCAGTATCAGCATTCGGTTCCACATATAGCCAATTTATTTATTTTAAGATTTTGATGAACCTCATGGATTGTTTGGGGAATTGCTGATATTGAAGAAATTATTACAAAGCATCCAGTTCAGAGATTTTGATCGAAAGATTTGATATTATTCTTTATCCCGGGTCAAGAATATCAGATCTTCCATCATGATGCCCATTGTCCATACAGAAAGGTTCATAGCAAGACAACGAAAACAATGAAAGTCCAAACCATAATACACATGAAAAATGAAGCATCTGCACAGTAAAATATTAGCTTCAACCCCAGAATTGCAGGCAATACACATCAACAGGGAGATCATAAAAATTAAACCACATATATACGCGTGTATAAAGTTATCATATAAGTCTTCGGTTTGAAAACCTAGATTAGTTCAAGCAATCCACACAACAAAAGGAGCTTAACAACAAAGACCCTCCACCAAAACCCCTTAAAAAATAGAGGGGCGTTTAAACATAAACATTAATTCATTCAGAAGGGTGTCCAATGGCCCAGCGATCAGCAAATGACGGGAAGCAGATTTTGCTCGGCACCAATTTCTCTCAGAGAAAAGCTGCCTACTCTGAAGGTATAGCTATGAGCAGCCAATGCAAGTAAAAGTTCAAAAACGAAACCCGAGGTGAAATAAAATGACAGCACAGGAAATGCTAATAATCAGAGACACCCCAAATAAGAAGAAGCAATCAAAATCGAGTCTTTTGAAGATGGAAGCAAGGGAAGGCAATCCCTTAGAAAAGGCATAATAGAGAAAGACAGAAAATTTAAGAAAAGGAACTGACCAGTGAGGAACCCAATAGAGCGAAGGCAAAAAGAGAGGAGGGATTGTGAGAATGCGGGTATGATAGAAGAGAGAAAGGAGTGAGTGAGAGTGGGAGTATATATACAAGAGAGTGTGTGACTTAGCAAATCCCGAAAGGGCAGAGAAAGAAAATATATTTGGTTGCGTTTTGCGTCGTGTATGTGAGTGTGTGTGTGCGGCAACAAGTGGAGAATCCGTATCACAATGAAATTGCATTTGGAATTGGATGGTATATATTAGCCGTTGCCAACCCAAAACTCACCACAACGCCCAAATCACTCTCTTTCACTCTTCTTTGTCCTCTTCGCTCTTTCAGATTTACCCCTATTCTTCACCAACCCTTCATTTTTCTCAGTCAACCTCTCTCCTCACTCGTTGACTTTTCCTTTTTTCTTTCTCTTTATCTTCCTTCTTTATCTTTAATGTGCAGATTTAGTTTTTTAATTCCTTTCTTCTTATTTTTTTTTTAATTTTGCTCCAGGTTAATGTTTCAATCTTGTTTTTTCAAATGTTTGAGAGTTTTAGAGCAATTTTAAATAAGATTTAGGTAAAAGTTTGAAGGAAAAAAAATATTGATGATGTTCAGAGAAACAGAGAAATATATTCATAAATTTTGGAAAACAACTAAACTAAAAACCGTTGTTTATTAGTTAAGTTTTAGATTTGATTTTAAAAACAGATCAAACTAAATTTATATATAGACATACTTTTATTATGGTTTTACTATACCTATTATAATCTCTTTTTTTTTGTGTAATTATATAACTTATACATATTTATGAAAATATTTTTTATTTAATTTTAAGTAATGAATATAATTATCGTAAGTTTATTTTCAAAGTTTTATATAACATATATTCGAAAAATTATACTATTATTTGTCCTATAATAAGTTACAAATGAAATTTTTTAAATTCTATATTATTTTTATTATTTATCTTTACTATTTATATAGAAAAATGTGAACTCTGATATGATCTAAGTTGCTTTAAATTGAAATTGGTATACGTTTAAATTGATTCGATGATGAATTAAGAAAATTGAAGCTATTAAATCAGATAATTATTGTCTTTAAAACATATTCAATCCAATCTGCAAACACAGTTATAAATTATTTTTATCATGAATCTTTATTATTTATATAGAAAAATATAAACTCTGATATTATCTAAGTTGGTTTAAACTGATTCGATGATGAATTAAGAAAATTGAAGCTATTAAATCAGATTATTTTTGTCTTTAAAACATATCCAGTCCAATCTACAAACACGGATATAATAATATCAAATTTAGAGATTACATTTATGACATAAAATTATAAGAGTGCTATATTTCACGATATATATGATGTTACTCTTATATTCATAAAATATCAGTAAAATTATTTTGTATTTTTAACATCTCTATAACGTGTTTGGATGCATGCTCACCAAAGACAGAATGCATCAAATTGAAGTAAGAATATGAAGTTTTTCCATCTTCGGCTTGAAATAGATTGAAAAATTACTAAATATGTATTGTACCAGATGACTGGACGGTCATCACAGTTTACAAACTTCATATGACCGGACGGCCAGCAAAACAGACAAAGGCGTCGGCATGGACGACCGGCCTCATAAACGTAAATGATTAATGTTAAAGAGATTAAGGTAAATCGAGTTTAAGGGTATGTTTTTTAATCAGTTCTAAACACATAAAGTTGCATATTAAAATGTATACACGGATAAACAGTGAATAAAAGATGAAAAAACACCACTCATTAATTAGACAAATCTTGTTAATTAGAAATTATAGTTTGAAGACAAAATAGTTTTTAACTAAACATAAAAAAAATTGATTTTAATGAGAAAATAATTTCATAAAACCTAACGGTTCCATCTATTGAAGGATGAAATTATTGGTTTAGGCTGTGTCTAAGAAAGAGTTGGAGGAGTAGTGATTTTACTTTACGGTATAGAGAATAGATGCTCATTACATTACTGCCAAACACATGCAGAGATGCTGCCAGTGAGCTGAATGGCTGAACGTTGTGTGTTGTTCATCTTACTTTTGTACTCACGTGTCTCCATACAGAGTATTTTTCACGAAATTGAAGTAATAATAATAGTGTTAGAAGTGGATTTGAAGATTGGTTCCTTCCTGTCACACTTTTGACCGAGTAATAATGGTGGTTATAATGTTACGGCTTATTTATGGACCATACGATACTCACCAAAGGATGCTGCCACTTTGAACAAAAGGGTGTGGCGGCTGATAGCAAAAGAAAGGAGCTGCGCATTATACCCTTCCATGCAGATTTACACGGACCATTCTTGCACCCCTATTTTTGGCAGCCTAAACAAAGAAAAAGAGTTTCGACTTTTGACAAGGTGCCAAACTCATCACTACCACCCATTTTTTTTTAAACTTTAAACTATTCAATTTTCTCATTCGCATGAGAACAGCTGGGACAGAGAAAGATCAAAATCATTGTGATCGTGACGTGCATAAACTCTTTAGAGAGGAGGCGACAAAACCACATACCTACCTGCATTTCAAAGATATTGTCTAGTAGTCAACATATCAATACGCGTGAGTTTCAAGCAAATCCAAGGGTGATTGATTACTTTGAATTTTGGAAATTAGAACCAGGTTTTGGATTGAAGAGAATATGGCATGTCGAAGCGGATAATGGTGTGTCATGTGAGTAGGAGTAAACTAAGATACAATGACATTTTTTCTCAGTTACATAATACATGAGATGATTTTAACTTGAATAAAATCTTTGTTTCTTTTACAATCTTGTTTTCTTTTGTAAATGTTTACAAAAGAAGTTTATTTATTGAGGACCTAAATAGAAACTACAATCAGCTAGTTTTCGGCGATGCTTATCAGAGAGTAGTCAGAAAAGTACGGAGCTAAAATAGCAGTTTCACAGCAGCAGACTCAACCGCATATAACTAGGATTCCACTTTGTAAGAGACTTTTGTTTGCCCCTTCTTCGAGCGAATTTGCGAGACCTGATCATATACACAGATTATAGAAGCATATAGCACAAAATTGTTACCAAGCAACCAAATAAAACTAAAAAAAGTCTATCATTTTATAAACTAAGTATTAGGTCTTTGAACAACAAAATTTTCATTTTCAATAGTTTCAATGAAAGAAATTCATTGGTGCTACTTACAAAGAGTGAAGCCTGCTGATTACAAAGAGCAAACTTACACAAAAAATATCATATCAAACCAAACTAGCAGCTAGTTCAAATAATGGATTCCATACCTTAATTTGTACGATGTCTGAAATGTCAGCAACATGAGTACCACCACATGGGCAGCCAGGATTATCTCCTATCCTCACAATGCGAGGTGTGCTTTCCTGTGAGAGTGGATGCATCAATATTGAAACATAATGTAGTGGCGCAGAAAATAAGAACAAAACCAGATTCATGCTAGAGATGAACTTAACATAGTTTTGTATACATTAAGATATGCATAAGCGTGTGATGTACACATATGTGAGACAGTGAATGCTACCCGTCAGCTAATTTCAAAGAATTGCTACAGTTCCATTCTAAGAAAGTGCCACATAAGCAAGGACCCTGTAGCTTGGGCGTTGAAAATATCTGACATTATAAAACTGCTTACCAGATACAACCACCGATTTCATACTCTATACAAATAATAAGGCAGTGTGAATAATAATACATTGATTTAGACGTCAACAAAAAACGGAAAACATAGAACACAGTTACTTCAAAAAACCATTTTAATAGATTAAAACAATTTCACACTACTCGTAAATCAATTTCTCATCTAAAATCTGTAGAGTTTTGACAATTATTTTCAGAACAGGTGTTTCAAGAAAAAAAAATAGAAATAGTTGGAATGTTTTCTCATTCTCTTTTTCTGCTTTCTTTAAGTACTACAAAGACAAATTTTTAGAGAACAAAAATGTTCTCAATAGACAAACACGTTAAAATATCCTCACGTGACTGTAAATTTGAGAATTCATAAACAGTTTTTCAAAACAGTCAACCAACATGATCGAAGTCTAGTATATGACCCTCTCCAGATTGGTTTTAATATAGGGCAAGAAGTCAGTCGTACTGACCGACAAAAACAATCAAATACAAGAAGGCAGCGAAGGGAAAACAGCCGTGTTCCTTCACTGGTACCGATATTAAGACTTGAACTGATTTCATCACATTCACAATGGCTGGATCAAGAGTTTCTTAGATTTTCATAGTTAGGACTTATGAGGGCTGCTACAATGTGGATAGAAACACCATTTGCAGCAAGAATATATCTTTTATAGACTGACCTTAGAAATATAATCAGGAAGACTCCCTCCGCAAATCTTAGCAGCTTCATCGTATGGTAATACATCAACAGAAATCTATATCGTAAGGTGAAGATTTTCAGAGCCTGATGTTACATAAAAAGCAATTTACGAACATAACAACTTACTCTTTCTCCCGAGGAAATTAATGCATTGGCCTCCAGCTCTAGATCCTTTTGCTTACTCTGCAATTCCTTTTGTGGAACTGTACCCTTATATTCAACCCAAGGCCTGGAAATGATGCAATAGCCAGTACGGAGCAAACTTCGTAACTTAGGAACACATTTAAACCGAATACTTATGGGATTACAACAGCAGGAGTTTAGCAATTGTAAGATCTTTCTTTTGAGAAAACCCCTACCTATTATTTTGTTATTCTATTAGTCTTGCGAAGATTTTTTTCACCATACGAGTCCCTCAAAGATCTAAACATAACTAAATTCTATATTATAAAGGACTGGCTAAAAAGCCACTAGAAGACTAAGGTGGCACCACGCTAATCTTTATGACCAATTTAAGGATTTATTGTATTTGTAGACTTCTAATAAACCCACTTAATCATCATTAATATTATCCTAGATCAGCAATGATTTGATAACTCGAACAATGCCTCTTAGCTTGAGTATTAGACAGATAACTTTCAAGTCTCAAACCTAATTCAGATTATGCACTCATATCCAAGCCATGAATTCAGTACACACCAAAAGCATAAAAAGCAGTAAAATGATATACCCATCAGAAAAATGGTAGGCTTTGCCAGGCTCTAAATGACCCAATCCTATTCTTTGCAGACAAATATCAAGCAAATGTCCCGCTGAATGCAATCTACACAGGAAATAAGCAAGGAAAAATGAGATTTACAGAAACAGAATTATAAATTTTCTTATAAGCAGTGCAGTAATCATAGATTCGAAATAGAAAAACTGCCTGGCAGAAATAAAATCCAAGCTAGAGTACACTCTAAAAAAAAGTAGTAATTAAAAAATTTGTACAGATGGTAAATCATTTCCCTAGCTGCACAAGAAAAATAAAAAGTACGCTTCAGAAAAATAATTTATGTAAAACAAATCAGATATGTGGGATATCTTAACTCAATCTAAAAGGAAAGGAAAGAAGAACACAAAGATAAATGTTTGAAGATTTTCATCCCCTGAAAAAAAAAAAGTTAACCTGGAGTTCAGTTTTCGCCTCTGCTCGTCAACAAACAGTGAAACCTCATTCCCTTTCTCGTGTGTAGGCTCAAATTCCCCTCCCAAATTCTCAAAGAGCCCATAGTGAAAAACCTACATCATCATAATAAAAAAAAAAAAACGAGGATGTCTACAAAATAATTGATGACCACTCCAGAGACATGTTCGACAACAAAAAAGACCTTTCATTCTTGAAACTTACAATTCCATCTTTGGATCGAACATCAGATACCAGAAATTTGTTTTCTAAGCCATGAATGAGTACAAAGCCAGTATCCGCGGGTTGACCACCTCCTTGCGGATGGAATATCGTACGGTCCAAGATCAAAACATGTCTACCATCATCGCCCTTTTCATTTTACATCAATAACGAAGCGAGTTAAGATTTCCTTCTCTGTATAGTCCTTCGCCCTTTCCCATATTTGTCATTTCGCAAAAATTATCAGTTGAATAACTAACTAAAATCAAGAAGTAATAGAAATTAACCTTGAAGTGAGATAATAATGTGGCAGTGCACTGGAGGCTCCACATGTCATCGTAGTATTCGAGCTTCGTGGGATTCTTGTACAAATCCATGGCCATAACCGAATCCTGAATCTATGGTTCTTCGTTTCGGATCATACCTGACCCCGTAAATGCTTCATACTCAAATAGTCACCGATTTTGACGTGATTGATAAATAAAAAGTTTCTGTACGGTGAAAGAATTATATAATGGGTAGGTTTGTTTAGTGATTATCCTTTAATAAACATATATTTATAGGTTTTGTTATCAAAGGTAAAAATACATCATATATTATAAGAATACGCAAATTTAATTCATGAAAATAGGGAAGTCGTGGGAGCTCAAACGAATTCAAATAAAAAAGTTGTGTTCATTTGTTCAGTGTTAAAGTCGTACATCTCCCAAAAATGACTTTAAAGCATGGTAATCGATTACCAAGATTTGTAATCAATTACAAAGTCATTTTTTATAAAAAATTAAAAAAAAAATTAAAGTTGTGTGGAGGGTTAACGACTTCTCTTATTGAAGCCATGCACCCTCTCCCATTCTTATCTTTTATATTTTTTAATTTTTTATTAATTAAAATCATTTATAATTTGTAAATAATATTTTTAAATATATTTAATATAATTAAAATTATATCTAATTAATAATTAAATTTTTTTAATATTATTAAATAAATAAATTTTATAATTTTAATTATTTTTGTAATTAAATTAATTTTTTTATAAAATGATTTTAATTAAATAATTTATAACTATAATTGTTGTAATTATGTAATTAAAAATTAAAAAAAAATTATGTAATTAAATTTATTATAATGAAATATAAGTAAATTTGTTATAACAAAAACTCATTCTAAATTAAATTTAAGTAAAAATTTATTATAAGTTAATTTATTATAATGAGATATAAGTAAACTTTTTTTAATATAATAAATTTAATTAAATTAATTAGGGTTAAATATGTTTTAAGTCCCTAAACTATTAAGTGAATTTGTTTTTATAAAAAATTAATTTAATTACAAAAATAATTAAAACCATAAAATATATTTATTTAAAATGTTTTATATACAATTAAATATATTATATAAAACTTATAAATCTTTTTAAATAATAAAAAACTAAAGAAATAAAAGTGTGAAGGGGATGCACGACTTTAAGTAAAGAAGTCGTCAACCACCCAAACGATTTCAACTTTTAAAATTTTTTATTATTTTAAATAGTTTATAATATTTTTTTTATTAATTAATTATAATTCAAAATAAAGTATAATATGATAATTAAAATTCATAAAATTAAATTATAATGAAATATAATTTTAAAATGTTAATTAGATATAATTTATATTATTTTAAATATATTTAAAAATATTATTTATTAATTATAAATTATTTTAATTAATAAAGAAATTAAAAATTAAAAAAAGGTAAAAGTGTGTGGGGTGCACGACTTCTCATATTAAAGTCGTCATCCCCCGGTACAACTTCAATACTTTTATTATTTTTAACGAAAAAAAGACGTGGTAATCTATTACAGTGTTTGTGGCAATCGATTACCATGCTCTAAAGTCATTTTTGGGTGCACGACTTCAACACTGGTCAAATGAACAGTGTGAAGTTGTGCCCCTGCACGACTTTTTCATTAAAAATCGTTTGGACCCCTCACGACTTCTCTTTGACCCAAAATTTGTCTATTTTCGTAATATTTCAGACAAATTTGCCTAGTTTCATGCAAAAACCTATATTTATATATATATATATATATATATATATATATATATATATTAATTATTGTGACTTATTAATTAAAATATATATTTTTTAAGAAAAAAATAAAAAATTATTTTTAATAAATTATTATTGCATATGGTATTGAGGTGTGAGCTGAATAGACACACCAAACAGTTAAAATATAAAATAAATGTTTTGATAAGAATGGAGATTTGTTGTTTCGAATTAATTTTTGTAAAATATTTGTAATTATACATATTGTGTAAATTTAGATTGTATTTTGTATTAATAATTTTTTTTTATAAGTCTTTGACGAGTTTATCCAAATAACTGATAATTTAAGGAGAAGTAATAAACAATCTATTTTCTCCATTCAATCATGGTTCTTAAATATGTTAATTTTTTTTTCAAAACAATCTCTTTTCTTTTAATAAATTGATATAAATTGCTAATACTCAATTAATTCTAATACATAAACTACAGGATTAAAAGAAAATCTAACTACGTCGTGTTTTCATACGTTAAATCTTTTTTACGTATAAAAGGAGATAAACATCGTGAATATTTAATGTTATAAGCATAATTTTCAATTATATATAACACACTGTTATTTTATTTAAACAGCTTCTTACATTAGATTATAAACTCATGTACCGTGTTTCTTAATTTGAAATTGATGTTAGGAGAATATACTTGGTGTTGGTGTGAGAAGCATGGAGGTGACATATAAGATAGCAAAACATACAACTTTTATTGAAAAAAAAACATATTTTAATAATAGTAATTTTTATTTTTCATTTAAATCCACATAATCATGTATAAATAATATCAATGATGGTGGCTATGATCAACAGGAGGAAAAATATTTTGAATAGGATTAGGACCACTAGGAACTTCCCAATCAGTATGAGAAATTTTGTTGGTGTGTGTCATGGAAGAAGGGAGAACATCATAATGAACATTAGCAAACATAGAAGAAACCCTGTTGTCTGCCAAATTTCTTCTAAGTTTTATATGGTTTTCCAAACGAGACGTTGAATGCGAATCGAGCACTGAACACATTAAAATGATGAGAAACAAAACAAGTGCTGAGCATTTTGAAGCACTCATGATTTTAATAAAGGAGGAATACGAGTTAAATAATTCAAATAATGAAATGTTATATTTGAGAATGTGTTAGAGTAGAATTCTATGGCAAGTTATATATAATGAAAAAGTTAAGTTGAACTACAAATGTGAAAAGATCATAATTATCTCTTTCACATTTTTTTAAAACTTTTTAATAAGTATAATTATGACAAGGAATTTACCACAAATAATTGTTTTAATTAATTACTATAATAAAATAAATAATTAAAATATTGTAATAATTATATTCGTTTAAAATATTGTTTTTAATTATGTATTTTTAATTATTAATTATTGATATGATATTATTCTTTTATTTTTTGAGTTAATTAATTAATTCATTTAAGTTTTATTGATAAAAATAATTTTAATTATAGAAAAATATATATTTCAAATTTTATTTCTATTATAGTTTAACATTTTTTTTTCATTAAGTATTGATATTTAATTACTTTTTTTAACTTTTGTGTTAATAATTAATTAATATTTTAACTTTTATTGATAAATATAATTTTAGTTAGAGGAAAACATTTATTTCAAATTTTCTTTCTTTAATTTTCCTTTCTTTAATAATGTAAGGTTTTTATTATCAATGATTTATTATTGAATTATTTAAGAATATTAATAAATTTCATAATATTCTTTAAATTCCAAATATATAATACTTTTAAAATTTAAAAAATAAATATTTACATCAAAAGTATGGTAATGGGCCAGTATATAAACCGTCAATTTTATCCTCAGACATTAAATAATGAAATTATATTAGTTTACTAAAATACCGACTTTCAAAATTTCAATTTTAAATAAAAATAAAAGGTAAGGTATAATAATTATAAGAGGGGTGTTGCTCCCTCCACCTCCACAGTCTTCTCCCTCCACCTCCCCAATTATCTTTAATTCCAATTATATCCTTAAAATTAAAATTTTTTATTTTTATTATTTTATTATTTTAATATTTTAATATTTAAATATAAACTAATATAAATATATATTATTAAAATACATTAAAAAGATATTCAAAAATAATAAATCAAAATATTAAAATATCTAATAAAATAATAACAGAAACATAAAATTAAAACAAAGCTTAAACGGATGACATCCTTCAACGGATGTCAACATCCGTTTAAG